TCCAGCCACACCTTTCCGTAGGTTGAAACTTGGGCGTGGTTATGTCACTGATGGCACAATCCTGACTTGGTGACCCCCATGTCTCTAAGTTCCTGCCCTGGTGAGCAGGACCCCCACTTAGAACCAATGGATCCCCTGACAGCCTAAACCTAACCAACTCCAGCCACACCTTTCCGTAGGTTGACGCTTGGCCTGGTTATGTCACTGATGGCCACTCATCCCGACTTGGTGACCCCCATGTCTCTAAGTTCCTGCCCTGGTGAGCAGGACCCCACTAGAACCAATGGATCCCCTGACAGCCTAAACCTAACCAACTCCAGCCACACCTTTCCGTAGGTTGACGCTTGGCCTGGTTATGTCACTGATGGCACCAATCCCGACTTGGTGACCCCCATGTCTCTAAGTTCCTGCCCTGGTGAGCAGGACCCCCACTAGAACCAATGGATCCCCTGACAGCCTAAACCTAACCAACTCCAGCCACACCTTTCCGTAGGTTGAAAGCTTGGCCTGGTATTGTCACTGATGGCACCATCCGACTTGGTGACCCCCATGTCTCTAAGTTCCTGCCCTGGTGAGCAGGACCCCCACTAGAACCAATGGATCCCCTGACAGCCTAACCTAACCAACACCAGCCGCACCTTTCCGTAGGTTGACGCTTGCCTGGTTATGTCACTGATGGCACCATCCCGACTTGGTGACCCCTATGTTTCTAAGTTCCTGCCCTGGTGAGCAGGACCCCCCACTAGAACCAATGGATCCCTGACAGCCTAAAATCTAACCAACACCAGCCACACCTTTCCGTAGGTTGACGCTTGGCCTGGTTATGTCACTGATGGCACCATCCCGACTTGGTGACCCCCATGTCTCTAAGTTCCTGCCCTGGTGAGCAGGACCCCACTAGAACCAATGGATCCCCTGACAGCCTAAACCTAACCAACTCCAGCCACACCTTTCCGTAGGTTGAAGCTTGGCCTGGTTATGTCACTGATGGCACATCCTGACTTGGTGACCCCCATGTCTCTAAGTTCCTGCCCTGGTGAGCAGGACCCCCACTAGAACCAATGGATCCCCTGACAGCCTAAAACCTAAACCAACACCAGCCGCACCTTTCCATAGGTTGACGCTTGGCCTGGTTATGTCACTGATGGCACCATCCCGACTTGGTGACCTCTATGTTTCTAAGGACCCCCTGCCCTGGTGACAGCAGGACCCCCTTTCTAGAACCAACTGGATGACCCCCTGACAGCCTAAACCTAACCAAACACCAGCCGCACCTTTCCATAGGTTGACGCTTGGCCTGGTTATGTCACTGATGGCACCATCCCGACTTGGTGACCCCCATGTTTCTAAGTTCCTGCCTGGTGAGCAGGACCCCCATTAGAACCAATGGATCCCCTGACAGCCTAACCTAACCCAACTCCAGCCACACCTTTCCGTAGGTTGAAACTTGGCGTGGTTATGTCACTGATGGCACAATCCTGACTTGGTGACCCCCATGTTTCTAAGTTCCTGCCCTGGTGAGCAGGACCCCCACTAGAACCAATGGATCCCCTGTCAGCACATCCTAATGTGAAGACATTGTTTACATTATACTGAATGACCAGCACGGGGGTCTGCTCGTGGTTGCAGTGCTTTCATTTGCTATTTACTGGATTTATATATCCCACAATGTGTACTAGTAGATCTCCACTGAAAGTAAAATGTTCACCATGTACATTCCATGAACCTGAGGGCAAAGAGGGCATAAAAGCCTCACTGAGCCCAACCCACCATATGAGGAGGCCACACCCACCAGCACAGCAATGTGTCCAGATTGGTTAAGATTCCGCAGTGTAATAATACGGCATTGCAGAAACGCAGATCGCCACGTCCCAGAAACATCACTACTCAGTGTGACTTCTGACATGAATGACCCCGTCAGTCCTCTGAAGATGTCAGCTGTCATGCAGATTACTTGTGCTCTCCACTTTCCAATAGCTGAACCTGCAGGAGTATGTATATACAGGAGAGGAGTGTGGAGGTGTGACAGTGATCGGTATATACAGGAGAGGAGTGTGAGGGGGGTGTGACAGTGATCGGTATGTCCAGGAGAGGAGTGTGGGGGGGTGTGACAGTGATCGGTATGTACAGGAGAGGAGTGTGGAGGGTATGACAGTGATCGGTATGTACAGGAGAGGAGTGTGGGGGGTGTGACAGTGATCGGTATGTACAGGAGAGGAGTGTGGGGGGTATGACAGTGATCGGTATGTACAGAGAAGAGTGTAGGGGGTATGACAGTGATCGGTATGTACAGGAGAGGAGAGTGGGGGGTGTGACAGTGATCGGTATGTACAGGGAGAGGAGAGGAGTGTGGGGGGTGTGACAGTGATCGGTATGTACAGGAGAGGAGTGTGGAGGTATGACAGTGATGGGGTATGTACAGGAGAGGAGTGTGTGGGGGGTATGACAGTGATCGGTATGTACAGGAGAGGAGTGTGGAGGTGTGTGGACAGTGATCGTATGTACAGGAGAGGAGTGTGGTAGTTGTGGACAGTGATCGGTATGTACAGGAGAGGAGTGTGGGGGGTATGACAGTGATCGGTATGTACAGGAGAGGAGTGTGGAGGTATGACAGTGATCGGTATGTACAGGAGAGGAGTGTGGGGGGTATGACAGTGATGGGTATGTACAGTAGAGGAGTGTGGGAGGGATGACAGTGATCGGGTATGTACAGGGAGAGGAGTGTGGAGGTATGACAGTGATCGGTATGTACAGGAGAGGAGTGTGGAGGGTATGACAGTGATCGGTATGTTACAGGAGAGGAGTGTGGAGGTATGTGACAGTGATCGGTATGTACAGGAGAGGAGTGTGGGGGTATGACAGTGATCGGTATGTACAGGAGAGGAGTGTGGAGGTATGACAGTGATCGGTATGTACAGGAGGGAGTGTGGAGGTATGACAGTGATCGAACGGTATGTACAGGAGAGGAGTGTGGAGGTATGACAGTGAATCGGTATGTACAGGAGAGGAGTGTGGAGGTATGACAGTGATCGGTATGTACAGGAGAGGAGTGTGGAGGTGTGACAGTGATCGGTAGTATGTACAGGAGAGGAGTGTGGGGGGTATGACAGTGATCGGTATGTAAAGGAGAGGAAGTGTGGGGTATGGACAGTGATCGGTATGTACAGGAGAAGAGAGAGTGTGGAGGGTGTGACAGTGAGTATGTACAGGAGAGTGGGTGGAGTATGACAGTGATCGGTATGTACAGGAGAGGAGTGTGGAGTATGACAGTGATCGGTATGTACAGGAGAGGAGTGTGGAGGGTATACACAGTGACGGTATGTACAGGAGAGGAGTGTGGAGGTGTGACAGTGGATCGGTATGTACAGAGAGGAGTGTGGGAGGTATGACAGTGATCGGTATGTACAGGAGAGGAGTGTGGAGGTATGACAGTGATCGGTATGTGACATGTGAGGGGTACGTGAAAAGAGTGTGGGGTGACAGTGATCGGTATGTACAGGAGAGGAGTGTGGAGGGTATGACAGTGATCGGTATGTACAGGCAAACAGGTATGGAGAGTATGTACAGGAGAGAGAGTGTGGAGGAGGTATGACAGTGATCGGTATGTACAGGAGAGGAGTGTGGGGGTATGACAGTGATCGGTATGTACAGGAGACATTAAAGAGTGTGGAGGTATGACACAGTGATCGGTATGTACAGGAGAGGAGTGTGGAGGGTATGACAGTGATCGTATGTACAGGAGAGGAGTGTGGAGGTATGACACAGGGCAGTATGTACAGGAGAGGAGTGTGGAGGTATGTGACAGTGATCGGTATGTACAGGAGAGGAGTGTGTGGGGTATGACAGTGATCGGTATGTACAGGAGAGGAGTGTGGAGGTATGACAGTGATCGGTATGTACAGGAGAGGGAGTGGAGGTGTGACAGGGTATGACAGTGACGGTATGTACAGGAGAGGAGTGTGGAGGTATGACAGTGATCGGTATGTACAGGAGAGGAGTGTGGAGGTATGACAGTGATCGGTATGTACAGGAGAGGAGTGTGGAGGTATGACAGTGATCGGTATGTACAGGAGAGGAGTGTGGAGGTGTGACAGTGATCGGTATGTACAGGAGAGGAGCAGAGGGTATGACAGTGATCGGTATGTACAGGGAGAGGAGTGTGGAGGGTATGACAGTGATCGGTATGTACAGGAGAGGAGTGTGGGGGTATGACAGTGATCGGTATGTACAGGAGAGGAGTGTGGAGGTATGACAGTGATCGGTATGTACAGGAGAGGATAGAGTGTGGAGGTGTGACAGTGATCGGTATGTACAGGAGAGGAGGAGTGTGGGGTATGACAGTGATCGGTATGTACAGGAGAGGAGTGTGGAGGTATGACAGTGATCGGTATGTACAGGAGAGGAGTGTGGGGGGTATGACAGTGATCGGTATGTACAGGAGAGGAGTGTGGGGGGTATGACAGTGATCGGTATGTACAGGAGAGAGTGTGGAGGGTATGACAGTGATCGGTATGTACAGGAGAGGAGTGTGGAGGTGTGACAGTGATCGGTATGTACAGGAGAGGAGAGTGTGGGGTATGACAGTGATCGGTATGTACAGGAGAGGAGTGTGGGGGTATGACAGTGATCGGTATGTACAGGAGAGGAGTGTGGGAGGTATGACAGTGATCGGTATGTACAGGAGAGGAGTGTGGAGGTATGACAGTGATCGGTATGTACAGGAGAGGAGTGTGGAGGTATGACAGTGATCGGTATGTACAGGAGAGGAGTGTGGGGGGTATGACAGTGATCGGTATGTACAGGAGAGGAGTGTGGCGGTATGACAGTGATCGGTATGTACAGGAGAGGAGTGTGGGTATGACAGTGATCGTATGTACAGGAAGGAGTGTGGGGTTATGACAGTGATCGGTATGTACAGGAGAGGAGTGTGGGGGTATGACAGTGATCGGTATGTACAGGAGAGGAGTGGTGGAGGTATGACAGTGATCGGTATGTACAGGAGAGGAGTGTGGAGGGTATGACAGTGATCGGTATGTACAGGAGAGGAGTGTGGGGGTATGACAGTGATCGGTATGTACAGGAGAGGAGTGTGGAGGGTATGACAGTGATCGGTATGTACAGGAGAGGAGTGTGGAGGTATGACAGTGATCGGTATGTACAGGAGAGGAGTGTGGAGGTATGACAGTGATCGGTATGTACAGAGAGAGGTGTGGGAGGTATGACAGTGATCGGTATGTACAGGAGAGGAGTGTGGGGGGTATGACAGTGATCGGTATGTACAGGAGAGGAGTGGAGGTGGACAGGGTATTACAGTGAGAGGAGTGTGGAGGGTGACAGTACGGTATAGAGAGGAGTGTGGAGGGTATGACAGTGATCGGTATGTACAGGAGAGGAGTGTGGAGGTGTGACAGTGATTCGGTATGTACAGGGAGAGGAGTGTGGAGGGTATGACAGTGATCGGTATGTACAGGAGAGGAGTGTGGGGGTATGACAGTGATCGGTAGTACAGGAGAGGAGGTGGAGGCAGTGACAGTGAGGGTATGTACAGGAGGTGGTGTATGTACAGGAGAGGAGTGTTGGAGGTATGACAGTGATCGGTATGTACAGGAGAGGAGTTTGGAGGTTGACAGTGATCGGTATGTACAGGAGAGGAGTGTGGAGGTATGACAGTGACGTAATACACATAGTACATTCAGACAGGAGTGTCAGGGTACTAAATACAGCTCCATGTCGGTATGTACAGGGAGAGTAGTGCGGAGGTTGACAGTGATCGGTATGTACAGCAGGAGGGTGAACATGCAAATGTACAGAAGAGACTGATCGGTGGACAATTTGATCAACGACATACAGATAGTGTGGAGGTTGACAGTGACCGGTATGTACAGGAGAGGAGTGTGGAGGTGTGACAGTGATCAGTTGTACAGGAGAGAGTGTGGGGGGTATGACAGTGATCGGTATGTACAGGAGAGGGATGGACAGGTAATGACAGGATTCAGTATGTACAGGAGAGGAGTGTGAGGATGAATGACACTGTCATGTTCGGTATTGCAGCACTGAGGAAGAGTGGACAATGACAGTGATCGGTATTTACATAAATAGGAAAAAATGTCACCATCGGTATGTACAGGAGAGGGGTGTGGAGGAATGACATTCTGTACAGCTGCCAGTGTCCAGGTCAACAGTGGATCAAAGTACAAGGCATTCATTATGCCAGTGATCAGAGTACAGGAGACAGAGTTGCTGGGTACAGTGATCAGTATGGGGAGTTTATGGGGGTTTGTGAACAGTGATTGGGGGCACTGTACAGGAGAGGAGTGGGGGTATGACATCGGTATTTACATGGGCACTGCAGTGGGGACATTTACAGTACCAGCTGGTACAGGACTGCCGTGGGGGACAATTTATGGGTATGCTACAGGCAGGAGTGCCGTGGAGGTGGACATGATCGGATTACAGGAGAGGAGTGTGGGGGACATTTATGGTATGTACTGGGCACTGGAGTGTGGGGACATTTGATGGTAACAGGGGCACTGCCGGGGGGTATGACAGTGATCGGTATTTTGGTAGCTGGGCACTGGAGGTATGGGGACATTTGTACATCTGGGCAGTGCCGTGGGGGACATCGGTATGTACTGGGACTAGGAGTGGGGGACATTTATGTACAGGCTGGGCACTGCCGTGGGTGACAGTGTTCGGTATGTACAGGAGGCAGTGTGGGGGAATGACATTAGAAGTGCAATGCCATGACAGTTTTATGAGGTGGATAGAGCTACATAAATACTGCATTGTGGGGGACATTATATATATAGCTGGTCACAAAGTTTTTTGTACATTCACACATTTATCAGATAGCTGGGCAACTAAGTTTCCGGGGGACATTTATACATAACTGGGCACTGCTGGGGGGACATTTATGGTACCATGCTTTTTTTGCATGTGGGACATTTATGGAGACCCAGTGGAAAACCCACGTGGGGGCACATGGGGAGAACTGGGCACTGCCGTGGGGGACATTTATGCATGTACTGCCGGGGATTGGGATTTGAACCGACTGTGTAGGGGACATTATGGTAAGCTGGGCACTGCTCTCCATGTGGGGACATCTTATGGTAAGCTGGGCACTGCCGTGGGGGACATTTAAGGTAAAGCTGGGCACTGCCGTGGGGGACATTTATAAATAAAAGCTGGGCACTGCCGTGGGGGACATTTTTATGATAAGCTGGGCACTGCCGTGGGGGACACTATTTATGAAAAAGCTGGGCACTGCCTCTGGGGGACACTGATGTGGGATTAGCTGGGCACTGCCATGGGGAACAATTTATGGTAGGCTGGGCACTGCCGTGGGGACATTTAGGTAGGCTGGGCACTGCCATGGGGACATTTATGGTAGGCTGGGCACTGCCGTGGGGGACATTTATGGTAGGCTGGGCACTGCCATGGGGGGACATTTATGGTAAGCTGGGCACTGCCGTGGGGGGACATTTATGATAAGCTGGGCACTGCCATGGGGGACATTTATGGTAGGCTGGGCACTGCGTGGGGGACATTTATGGTAGGCTGGGCACTGCCGTGGGGGACATTTATGATAAGCTGGGCACTGCCGTGGGGGACATTTATGATAAGCTGGGCACTGCCGTGGGGGACATTTATTGTGCCGAGGACTGGGCACTGCCGTGGGGGACATTATGATAAGCTGGGCACTGCCGTGGGGGACATTTATGTAAGGCTGGGCACTGCCGTGGGGGACATTTATGGGAGCTGGGCACTGCCGTGGGGGACATTTATGGTAGGCTGGGCACTGCCGTGGGGGACATTTATGGTAAGCTGGGCACTGCCGTGGGGGACATTTATGATAAGCTGGGCTTGCACTGCCATGGGGGACATTTATGGTAGGCTGGGCACTGCCGTGGGGGACATTTATGTAGCTGGGCACTGCCGTGGGGGACATTTATGGTAGGCTGGGCACTGCCATGGGGGACATTTATAGTAGGCTGGGCACTGCCGTGGGGGACATTTATGGTAGGATCTGGGCACTGCCATGGGGACATTTATGGTAGGCTGGGCACTGCATGGGGCACATTTATGGTAGGCTGGGCACTGCCGTGGGGGACACATTTATGGTAGGCTGGGCACTGCCGTGGGGGACATTTATGGTAGGCTGGGCACTGCTGTGGGGACATTTGTGTAGGATCTGGGCACTGCCGTGGTAGACATTTATGGTAAGCAAGGGCACTGCCGTGGGGGACATTTATGATAAGCTGGCACTGCCGTGGGGGACATTTATGGTAAGCTGGGCACTGCCACGGGGGACATTTGTGAGGATCTGGGCACTGCCATGGGGGACATTTGTTCTGATAAGCTGGGCACTTGCCGTGGGGGACATTATGATAAGCTGGGCACTGCTGTGGGGGACATTTATGATAAGCTGGGCACTGCTGTGGGGACATTTATGGTAGGGCTGGGCACTGCCATGGGGACATTTATGGTAGGCTGGGCACTGCCGAGGGGGACATTTATGGTAGGCTGGGCACTGCATGGGGGACATTTATGGTAGGCTGGGCACTGCCACGGGGGGGACATTAATGTAGGATCTGGGCACTGCCGTGGGGGACATTTATGATAAGCTGGGCACTGCCATGGGGGACATTTTATGATAAGCTGGGCACTGCCGTGGGGGACATTTATGGTAAGCTGGGCACTGCTGTGGGAGACATTTGTGAAGATCTGGGCACTGCCGTGGGGGACATTTATGGTAAGCTGGGCACTGCTGTGGGGGACATTTGTGAGGATCTGGCACTGCCACTGCCATGGGGACATTTATGGTAAGCTGGGCACTGCCATGGGGACATTTATGATAAGCTGGGCACTGCCGTGGGGGACATTTATTGTAGGCTGGGCACTGCCATGGGGGACATTTATGGTAGGCTGGGCACTGCCATGGGGGACATTTATGGTAGGCTGGGTACTGCCGTGGGGACATTTATGGTAGGCTGGGCACTGCCGTGGGGGACATTTATGGTGGCCTGGGCACTGACGTGGGGGACATTTGTGAGGATCTGGGCACTGCCGGGGGGACATTTATGGTATGCTGGGCACTGCCGTGGGGGGCATTTATGGTAGGCTGGGCACTGCCGTGGGGACATTTGTGAGGATCTGGGCACTGCCATGGGGGACATTTATGGTAGGCTGGGCACTGCTGTGGGGACATTTATGGTAGGCTGGGCACTGCCGTGGGGGACATTTATGATAAGCTGGGTACTGCCGTGGGGGACATTTATGAGTAGGCTGGGCACTGCTGTGGGGGACATTTATGGTAGGCTGGGCACTGACGTGGGGGACATTTATGGTAGGCTGGGCACTGCCGTGGGGGACATTTATGGTAGGCTGGGCACTGCTGTGGGGGGACATTTATGGTAGGCTGGGCACTGCTGTGGGGGACATTTATGGTAGGCTGGGGGCACTAGGCTGGGCACTGCCATGGGGGGACATTTATGGTAGGCTGGGCACTGCCATGGGGGACATTTATGGTAGGCTGGGCACTGCTGTGGGGGACATTTATATGGGTAGGCTGGGCATCGGACGTGGGGGACATTTATGGTAGGCTGGGCACTGCCATGTGGGACATTTATGGTAGGCTGGGCACTGCTGTGGGGGACATTTATGGTAGGCTGGGCACTGACGTGGGGACATTTTGTGAGGATCTGGGCATTTGTGAGGAATCTGGGCACTGTACCCTAATCTGATTTATTTCCAACTTGAAAATTAAAGGTTTTTTTATGTAGTTTTGGCTGAGACACCTGATTTTTTTTTCCCAGCAGGAAAGGTCTGAGCTGAGCAGCAGCAGTAGGAGAGGAGCTACAATAGAAATCAGACTTATTAGGAAAGTTTAAAAATAAAGCTAAAGCCCTCAACTTCCTACACACTGCAAAAAACCAGTTAAATTGTACAGTTTGTGAGCTTTTTTTTGCAGTACTGCACATTGTTTTGACATTTTTTTTATAAACCTTTAAGATAGTCGAGTGCACAGATACACTCCAAAACCATAACCCCACATTAATGAACTCTTTTGCATCCCCGAATCCCCCATTTTCCCCAAAATATTCAAAATATAGATACCTAGTGTGTCCTTGGTAGAAATGACCTAGTGTCAGGACAGTATGCAGTAGGAGGCAGCAAACAGATAGAGACAAGGCAGATTTTATATTGAAATACATTAAATTAGAATATATTATCTGAGAGACAATAGCCAAAAATATTTTTTCAGTGGCTGGACGGAATGTAAGCTGCCTTGTCGGGGAGGTGTCAGTGTCCATGCAGTGCAGGATCGTCTCAGTGTGGCTGTGATTATGGAGTGAAGACATGATATGGACTATGGGCAGCTGTGGGATGGATCTATGATGGAATGTGGAATATAACTCCCATAGTGCAGAATATATAGGCGTAGCATCTATGAGACGCTGGAGGAAACTTCCCATT